AAGTGCCAACGACGAACAAAACGACAAAAGAAAATGCATAACTAAGTACAATTTCGAGAAAGTACAAAAGGGTACGAATGTATATGTATTTAAATAATATTGCATGAGAGTAGCAATTAAACCGCCTAACATACTTTGAATTTTAAAGTCGATGCGGAGATGACCAATATTTTTTATATAAATTAATTACTGAAATCGATCTGTTGATTATTTTTCTCAATTTCATAGACGGTCAATTTTCAACTGGAGTTATATAAGAGCCAATGCAACCCTGGCTGACACTTCTAAAATCGTTTTTGTACAAATTTCAATCCGTTAGGATTTCTACGATATAGAAAAAAATGTGTATATTCAACTCGAATAGACTTACTAACTCGATTAAAAAAGGTTTTTATGCATGTGGGTCGAATTGACCCCAGTAGAATATAACCGAAAGCATAAACATAGTATATCTTGCGTTTCAATTTGAGTCTCCCGAGGCAACTGAAGCTCTTATTACTGTTGCAGGAGCACTGCTTAACCCCCCGGAGTTTCGTCATTTTCACCCCCCCGAACTCCGCAAGATTGAGGCCAAGGAAGTGGACGACGTCGATGGGCGCAGTCCATAAGACTTCCGGCGTCCTGGTCGTCGGGTTGGAGGGTGATGCGAAGAGGTGTTGGGTGTTGTGTGGACTTTTCTCGTATGCTGTACAGGTGTTTGCCACTTTTGAGTTCAGCAGAGAGAGAGAGTTAGCTGTAGCGCTTGTGGCACCACCCTAAATTCAGTTATGCTAGGGTGCACCTGATCTCTCTCGGCAGTTCTGCTTCTTCGGTGTTGATGGCCAGCAGTTGACCACCTAGGACGATGTTATCCTTGGGAATGCTGAGAATCCTCCTGGCTGCATCGCTGTGAAGATTGTTGAGCGCCGCTTTGTGCCGGACTGCGTCGAAAGGATATTTCGAAACAGCATTGTTGGGGTGGATCCTGCAATGACATCTCACGAGGAATTACTTCGATAACATGATGTTGTCTTCTTTCACCCCCAGCAACTTCTTCGTGTAGGCGATGCTAGAACGACATGAGGTAGCAGCCTGTGGCCTTACCTAGAGCTGCGTTCTAGCAGGTTTGTAGGTTACTCCACTGCATGTCGTTCGGTCCTGCCGACCATACTGGCGCTGCGTAGTTTGCCATCGACCGGCCGATTGCTCCATAAATTGTGAGCAGGGCCTCCTTGTCGACTCCCCAGGTACCGCCATATAGCGACTTGGGAACTTTTTTTGAGGTTCGCAGTTTGTTACAAGTGGCTGTGACGTGCGCTGAGAATAGGCTGTAAAACGTCACTCCCAGGATTCTGGGGTGTTGACCGTCGGTATTTTGGCGCTATCGACCTAGTTCGAGCCCAATCTCATTGATCCAGATGGTGAAAAGTGTGGCGGATTTTGCGGCAGAGATCACGACGTTTGTGGCTGTAAAAAAAACTGGATCCATGAGCCATGATCGTCTAATCAACAGTGTAGCTCACCAAGTTGACTCCATCTGGCGGCGGATTGAGTTTTGCCATGCAGGGATTAAACGGTGTCAGACAAAGTACGCCGCAGGTACTCGTGCTTAATTCTACGTGGCTTTGACTTGATTTTTACTGCCAGAATTGTCGGCGACATTTTTCCTGTTTCATATACGCTTGTAGGCAACTGTGAAAATTTTTGGAAAACGACAGGGATAATATGGAATATTGTCGACAATTGTGCTGGAAACTGTCACTCTGGCAAAATTGTCGCGACAATGCCGACAAAACCAAATAGCTCCGTCGGAAAGCTTTTACATGAGAGTTTTGTGAATTTATTTATATATGGTAATTGCGCGCATTTCATTACTTTTCAATAATTTGAATAATTTAAACTAAAATAATGCAAATGCAATTACTACATATGATTAACATATAAATTTCATATGGCTGGCGACAATAGTTGTGTTCCTCTACAAATTATCCAGTAATTTGCCAGTAATTCTCCGGTAACTTAATTTCTGAGAATTCGCTCTCATAGTACAAAAGTACAAGAACGCAAAACCAGTAATAATTTGCAAGTTTTACGAACAGCTGATTAATTTGTTGTTTATTCGCAGCTAGTTCCTATTAAAACAATATATATTATATTTAAATAGGTTTATTTTGTCAATTTCAACTGTGAAAACCTCATAAACATTTCTTTTATTAGTTTTAATTCCACCCAGCAACATGCGATCAGCTGTTTTTCTCACTTGCCCCTTCTTACGAGTTTTTTGGGTACAAGAACACCAAAACGTGATGGTTAGTACAAACTGGTACAAACTATCGCGTACAAGAACGCTACTAATAACGACAATTTGTCACTTCTTCAATAGAATTTAAGAGGTGGTGACAATTGTTTTTATGAAACAAACCACCGATCAAACTGTCGCATTTTCTCTGACAACATGGAAAATGCCCGTCGTTACAAAATTATCACTGTTGTTTTATGAAATAGGCCCCTGCTTCGCCGATAAATCAATTTAACGTTGCCACACGTTGTCCCGGTTGTATGTTTTGAAGGCTTACACGCACAACTACTTGCACCATTGTATGGATCTGAATCCTTGCGGCTGTTTGAAATTTTAGACAGCTACAGAATTCATATTTTTAGAAAATATGTTTACCATTAATCTTCAATTAATCGATTAATAATAGAATAATGAAACACAAAACTACGATACAATTAAATCGCAAATTGGACGAAAATAATCGATTAATTTAATCATGTGATTAATCGCTGCCATCCTTAGGACTCGATAGACCATCATATGGAAGCGCCCATATACTCCCTACATGTTGAAGTAATTTCTACATTTGGTGCCATACAAATTGTACGTGAAATTAAATCTTAATGAAATATAGAAACTTACTAATACCTTAAAATTAAATATTAATCAGTAAAGAAATTATTTGCCAAAGCTTACCGCTTTTATTTACATTTTTTTTATTGAAATTATGTTCACCACTTTTTGAAGTAAATGCAACATTTGAAATTTTGTAATTTCACCACTGCTTGAACATACACTTCGCGCAACATGCAACCCTGTGCCTGAGCTCCTCACTCGTCTCTTTCTCACACATCATGACTATCATCTGCCTTTATTATTTAAGAATGGAACAGCAGCATTGTAAATGTACGCATTTAATGCCTTGGAGCTGGCAACGCTGTATATTGCAATTGTGTCTTCCTTTTTTCACTTTCATATTCCAATTTGTAACGAATTAGAAAAGGCAGACCGATTTGCTCCGACTTGCCATTGCATGTGCGTGTGTGTGTATTCGACTGTCATTTTCATTTCCTAGCTGCGTTTTTAGAAAAGTTCGTGTGTTTAGTGTTTTATTGAATTTAAGGCTGATAAATTGTTGTGAGAAAAGTACATTTCATTAATTAGTAAAAACGGTACTGCCTCACTGCTTTTTGAAGTTAAATGCTTGCGTTTTGATATGTTCGGTAATTGCGAAGTGGCGTGAGACACATATCGGGGCTTAACGCGCAGTTATTGGGGCGAAACACTTTTTCAAGGTATCCAAGTGTCCATGGAAAATCGTTACTTGTTAAGTGCTGTTGAAGGGTTTTGTGCGATAATTTTGCTACATATTGGGGCGGAGAATTCATTGAGTAATTCACTCTTTGCAGCGCACATAAGTTGCATACTGTTCGCCATTTGACGTAATGCATTTATGTGTGTAAAGTGGTGCGAAGCTGACGTCGTGTGGATGTGGTCTTATTTTGAAGGAATAAAAAATAGAGAAAGGAAAATTACATATTAAAGATTTGTAGTGCAGTGGTAGCCAACTAACAGCAAGAAAGGAGGAAAACAAAGCAATACGACGGCTGCAAGCCCACAGCCAGCAGACAAAGAAACAGACGAAGTTTAATGCGAGTGCAATGCACAACGCGTTGTCGTTCGTACGGTTCGAATTGGAGGAAAATCGTAATTACGTTTTTGTAATCACTTGTTGGGGGGTGTACCTTGAAAGGGCAATGAATAATCGTAATTGTTAGGATGTTGTTAACAAAAGATATGTGTAGTGCTAAAATCAAAGTAGATTAGTACGGCAGTGTGATAAGTCGGGAATTCAACAAAAGTAAATAACTGCGGTCAAAAAAGTTTAATGACACCAAAATAGAAAACGACAATCAATGTACGAAGCTGAAATAAAATAAATACAACAATAATTGTGCCCAATTGGACGTGCCGACTTGCCAGACTCGCCATAGTCGACATTTTCATGATCATTGTCACACTAATGACAATACGGCAACGCTCGCTTGTCAATTTTCAGTTTCGCATTGCATCGCACTGTAGAGCTGTACTACTCTAACCTATATGCGCACAACTATCTGTTTCCTTTGAAGCAGCGAAACAAAACGCTAATCTCTGTGTTTACTCGTTTGCTGTTATCTCTGTTTACTTGATGTTTTTTGTTTTCATTTTCATTTAATGAGTTTTGCCTTTGTGCTGGTCACAAATTTTCCCATTGAATTCATGGTCGATTCGCGAGCGATGCAAACAAATAAAAATACGTCCAAGATTTGTTTTAGCTTCTATTGTTGGTTGATTTGATCAGCATATAAAATTGGAAAATTACTGCCATTAATTTTTCGTGCAAAAACTATTAATATTAAATTTGGTTGCAAAAAATTGTTGCTGAAAAGTGTGAAAAAAGGATTAAAACCATGCAGGCGCTAACAACAAAAATGTGCTGTTGATTTCCAATAAAATTTGAGTGTATTTTGGATCGAATTGAGCACACGTATAGCAAAAAACAAATCGAATAATAGCAACACCGCAGTAGCCTTGAACTTTTTTCCTTTCACATCCATTTTTGTTTTGTCTTATCTTTGCTCTGCTTCTTTTTCTAATTTTCTGATTTTTTGATTATCTCAAAGAATTGAAAAATTTTGGTGTGCACAAAATTTTCAAAACGTTTTAATTCTGAATTTTTCTTATTTTTTCTCTAAACCAGAACACAAATTTTTGAATATAAAGAGGAAGGGAGTACTAACGAGGCGAATGTCACAAAAGCTTCCCCGATATAAAGAAAGCCAGAAAAACCGATTTGTATTTGTAGGGCAGCAAGTAAACTAGCGAAGCAAGCTTAAAACTTGGAAAAGTAGCACGACAACTCCAATCAACGAAGCAAATAAATAAATAATTGGAGCAGCGTCATATACGCTGTTACTTATTGGCTACTAGTAGTCTACTGGTCACGATCTTTGTTGAACCCCAAAAAGAAAGGAACAGGCGATTTGATATCAACGGCATTATCGTCATAGGCATCGCCACTGGTATCGCCACTGTTATCGCCACCGTCGCTTCATTGACATCGCTGCTGCTACTGCTATTTACAAAGTCGTTGGGAAGTGTCAAAGCAGAGAAACTGAAGACACGCCAAACGAAACAAAGGAGTGGGTGATTGGGGAGGTAGGCAGAGCGCATAGCATACATTAAATCGCGTCGTAAGCTGTTCATATACTAAGCTAGTGAAGGTGCTAAAAGCGGCGTATAGGTGATAAATTAGCTGCTGCAAACGTAGCGAAAAGCAAAACATAAAAGTGAATTAAAACCTTTTTATTAGTCACCAAGCAAGCTGCTGGGGAATACAGTGCATATGATTACACTGTTTTCTTGAAACTATTTGCTGGTTAAAATTTAATTTGCCCATAAATCAAACAACCAAAATTTGCTGCTATTTGGAAACATCGCGTTAGGCCAACTGATAAGGGCGATAACCCAAAAGAGCTGTGCTGCATTGCTATTGGAAATATAGCCGTGACAGCGTATTTAGCAGGCAGCAACTAAACTGAAATAAACAAAACCGGACATAGTAATCACGTAACATGGAGTCGGACGAGGATTCGTACGAGATGGAGAATGTCGACTCTGGCAATGTATCATCCGGAGACGAGGGCGATGAAGATTTTGGCATGGAAGTCGATATACCCTCTTCACATGATCGTCAAATGGAAACAGAGGAATATCAGTATGAAGTGCTTACGACAGACGAAATAGTACTGCATCAGCGCGAAATAATCGATGAGGTCAACAATGTGCTCAAGGTAATTAAGCAAATTATGTCAATATAAGTTTTTTATCGATTTGTAGCTACTGCGCTACTATACTTATGGCAAATAAGCTGAGAAATTCTTGGGAGTGCCTCAATAAAAAAAGTCTTAGAGGGCCTTTATGAATGTATGCCAAATTTTTTGATTACTATTATTATTTTTTTAATATGTTTTGTATATATGTACATACGTCCCTACGGCATTACTTCTAATTGCCAGCGGATTGCATATTAGTCATAAAGGGTGTTAGCACTTTCTTCCTTCCGCTTGCGTTCACAGTGTTGCTCTTAATGATTTTATGTTGCTGTTTGGGCGTTAGTTGTTCCTTAAAAAGTCTTGCTATATTTTGTAAATTCACGACCTTCACGTTGAAGGTTGCCAATTCCACTTAAGTGTGGTGGCTACAGTGGGATGATATAACAAATTTTGTTGCTATCACAGCAGCTTGCGTCCTTTCATTGGTATATACATATGTGATACCTTTCTTGTGAATGTGAGAGCATACAAACCTACTTACATTCATGTGTATTAGTTACTTTCATTGTTTTTGCTACCAATCCTCCCACACCAGCGAAGGCTATACGCGACAACCAAAAATAAAAAATAAAAATAAAATCACAAAAAATGGGGTGAGATAAAAAACAGGCCGAGATTTGCAAATGTGTCCGTCAAGAGTTGTTACGAAATATGCAACAGACGCACTTACGTATCTATGTACATACATACAACAGCTCTGCTGACCTATTTAATACATTACATGTACCTACATATGTATGTATGTATGTAGGCATATTATTGAAGCGGATTTAAACAAAAATTATGCATACCTACAATCAGTTGTTATTTTCTCACGCGACTTTTTAATATACATACATTTGTACATCCAATGCATTTCAATTTTAGTCTCATATTTATTTTATTGATCTTCTACCGTGTCCCAGTGGTTTTGTTTGTTTGTTACTCATTATTAATTTTGCTTTGCCTATTTTGTGGTGGAGGTGAAAGCCGAGTTTGTTTACAAAACATCAAACTGTTGTTGTATTGTAAATAAGTTGACAATTGCAAGGGGTAAAAATATGAATCCGCACCAACACATCTTTTACACAGAAATTGCAATGATTTGCATTTTTTCCTTTACCCGCTGCAATATGTCGCAGCTGTTGGTACTGCTCTCTCGGCTATAAATAGTCGCTTTGACGTCAGTTTAGCCCTTTGTGCTGCCAATTTTTGTGCTGTTCATGCAATTTTCGTACATGAATGCATTTTTTAATTGCATAACTTGGCATTGAATATCAGCTGTTAGAAAATCGATTGGGAAGAAGGGATTTCAAATACTCCCATTTGAATATTAGCTTAGAAAAATACATATAGGTATGTTCATGGCCCTTAAATTTACACGGTTTGGTTATCTTCTGTACAATTGGACTCCAATTAAGAAGATTTGTGCCCTTTAGAGAATGCTGCTGAAGTGCCATTTCTATGCCAGAAATAAAACTTAGTAACGTCCCGCCTGTTGTAGGCACGAACTCTTTTCTCGTTTTACCCTATCAGTCACAAGCTTTTCAACTATTTATTTTAATTCATTTCAGCTGCCGCCCACAATAATCCGCATACTGCTTAACCATTACAAATGGGATAAAGAAAAGTTGTTGGAGAAATATTTTGACGGTAATACAGAGGAATTTTTCAAGGGCGCACATGTCATCAATCCTTTCAACAAAGCCGCCAATCCAAGTCGACTCAAGGTAAAGTTTTATGAACAAAAACATTTTGACAATGGGAAGAAATCCACTCATGGCAAAATATTTTCTTCATTTCCTGAATTTTCTTGCAGGTGAACAAAAACCCCGTCGAAGAATGCGAAATTTGCTTCTCATTATTGTCACCAGATGTAAGTAAATGAATTTTAAACTCAACTACTTACCGAATTTGGTCTATCACTCTTTCTGTCACTTCATTTATTTTTTCGTTCTCTCGCCTCGCTACAGAGTATGACTGGTCTGGAGTGTGGCCATCGCTTTTGTTTGGCCTGCTGGCGTGAGTATTTAACCACAAAGATCGTCACCGAAGGTCTCGGTCAATCCATCTCGTGCGCCGCGCACGGCTGTGATATTTTAGTCGACGACGTAACTGTCACCAAACTAGTGGATCCGCGTGTCAAAGTGAAATACCAGCAATTGATCACAAATAGTTTTGTCGAATGCAATCAGCTGTTGCGTTGGTGTCCGTCCGTCGACTGTACGTATGCAATCAAAGTGTCGTATGGCGATTCCCGTCCGGTGAGTTGCAAATGTGGGCACGTCTTTTGCTTTGCATGCGGCGAGAATTGGCATGATCCGGTCAAGTGTTGTTGGCTGAAAAAGTGGATTAAGAAGTGCGATGATGATTCTGAGACATCCAATTGGATTGCGGCCAACACCAAAGAGTGTCCTAAATGTAATGTGACAATTGAAAAGGATGGCGGCTGCAATCACATGGTGTGCAAGAATCAAAACTGCAAACACGATTTCTGTTGGGTGTGCTTGGGGTCGTGGGAACCACACGGTTCGTCATGGTACAATTGCAATCGGTATGATGAGGATGAGGCAAAAGCGGCGCGTGATGCGCAAGAGAAGTTGCGCTCCTCGTTGGCAAGGTGAGTGTACAAAAATATCGGAAACATATAAATTAATATTTATTCATGCATTTTTGCTTTTCAGGTACTTGCACTACTACAATCGCTATATGAATCACATGCAGTCGTTGAAATTTGAGAATAAACTGTATGCGGCGGTCAAACATAAAATGGAGGAGATGCAGCAACACAATATGTCTTGGATCGAAGTAAGCTAAATTGATTGTTAATAATAACAATCGCTGAAAATATTTCCCTTTCCTTTGGCTTTGTTTTTTGCTAGGTGCAATTCTTGAAAAAGGCTGTAGACATACTCTGCCAGTGCCGCCAAACACTTATGTACACTTACGTGTTTGCCTACTATCTGAAGAAGAATAATCAGTCAATGATCTTTGAGGATAATCAAAAGGATTTGGAATCGGCAACAGAGAAATTGTCCGAGTACTTGGAACGTGATATAACGTCGGAGAACTTGGCTGATATTAAACAAAAAGTGCAGGATAAATATAGGTGAGTAGAGGAATAAGACTCAAGTTTGACGGCGCAAAACAGTTAACAGATAAACCATTTGATAACCGAAAAATGCATCTACCAATAGCAATATAAAATAAAAGATGGTTTGTTCATCTTAAAGTTTGAGAGCTGCGTGGTTTAAATATATTCTTAAATTTAAAATTGATAAAAATTTGTAAAAACCATATTTTTGATAAACTCTGCTCTTTTAAATTTCCCCATTCTATGCATTATTCATAATGTCAATCTATATCTATATATATAATACCCGAAGGTATTTTTTGTCCAGGATAAAAGATCTGTACCGTTCGCCTGATTTTCAAAAATGAGATGTCAAATTAAAGCGCTTTGTCTGTAGATGTGCAAACTGGTTTTGTTTTTCGAATAGGGTTGCCACCTGTTGAACAATTAAACTCAAATTATTTAATAATCAATGCCATCAGACCTGCAATCTTCGTTCGATTTTTAAAAGTGAGGTGCCAAATTAAAGGGCGCGAGCTGAAGATGCGCAATGTGGTTTACTTTGTCAAAAAGAATTGCCACCTTTCAAAAAATTAAGTTGAAATTATTTAAAAAGTTAAACCAATTATAACGAAATTGGTATCAATCGAAATGGGTTTAAAAAGCTTTGTTTCTTAACTGTACCGGGTGCCACCTGTTTAAAAAATTAAATCAAATTTAATTAAGGGAATTAGGTGATGGACATAGCTACATATGTATTTATCACAATGTAGGCGCTAGACGAAAAGTTTGTTTCTTTCAAAAGTCGAATTCAGTTAACCTATACACAACGAAAAATTGAAATAGATCTCATTAAACATAATACTCCAATGAGAATGTTTTCCAACATGATTTGTTTGCGATTGTTTTTTTGTAAAACCAAATATGCTCTAAATCAACCAGTTATTACGGTAATGGGTGAGTTCAATGCTCCATGTAAAGACAATAATGTCAACATATTTGCTAATCGCATAGAATTAAAAAAAACAACATTATTTTCTCTTTATTCGTAAATTTTAATTTATTAATCATCAGGCTTGCCAGCTTTTGGAAAAGTCATAGTGACCTAACTAAGTATATACGTATAGAACTCAATTCAATATTCTTTATTATAAAATTTAATCAAATACAATTCTCTCAATACAATTGCGTTGCAACCAAAAGATGTCTAATGAAAATTGTGTATCTATCTTTTCGTGAAGTTAGCTGACGTGCATCGGTTAAAATTTAAAATTGACGTTTCTTCATCTCGCTCAGTGTTGCCACCTGAGTGTATTACCGCACCAGTGTAAGGGCTAGTCCCTACACCACCCCCTTTCCAGAAAAAGCGCCAAGAAAAGGGAGTTCTTTNCGTATAATATACGAGAGGGAATTTCAAGTATGAGAGCTGTAGTAAAGTTCGTGGGCTGTATATATGGGTTAAGTTTTTATTTTTTGAAGATGGAACTTTTTCTTCGGCATAGAAACGTCTTCACGGCATTGAGATGAAGTATGGCACTCGGATCGCTTATAAGTCTGATTAACATTTGGAATATTTTTTAGATTTTTGAAATTCAATTTTGGGCGTTTGAACGCCATGCGGGTTCAATAGTTTCTATTAAAAATCTCTTAAATTTGTTTTATTAACCTACCCACTTTCCGTTTCTTAATTTTCCAGATATTGCGAGAAGCGTCGCAAGGTGCTGCTGGATCATGTGCATGAAGGCTACGAAAAGGATTGGTGGGAGTACACAGAATGACGCGAATCCTGGATGGATGATTAAACAGCACCAATAAAAAAAAAATATTTTGATTCAATAAGCAACAGAAAGCCGAGCAGGGAATGAGCAAAGCAGCAAACCGACGACCAAAAAAAAATATGAAAAATAGTTAAAATGTCAGTCAATATCAATCGAATACAAAATGCAAGAAGAAATAAAAACAACAAAATGAAACCAAACCGATGAAAGGGCGATCGCATTTGGCAGTATGTTGGTTGGGTATGGAAATAAGGGGACAGAGGAGAAGGAGATAAGCGCGAAAAACTGTTGAAAACGGCATACTCTACGGCAAGGCAGTGCCCAGAGACCAGGAGGCATAGCAAGTACCAAAAAAGCAATAAAATGGCGGCAAACAACACTCAGTTGCAAAATTGTTTTTTAGTAAAAATTGTAATCACCATTACGCAAAAACAACAAACAAGGAAAAGTAAACAAATTCAAACAATTTTTTAGCATTACAAAACAACACATGAACAACAAAAACAATCTTCCAACATATGTACGTATGTATACGCAAGTAAATTACACGCGACATTGCGGCCGATTAGAGCTAGTATATAAACTTCAAAAGGAAAAATGCCATCGTTAGTCGCTTTGTTGTTGTTGTAGCACTGAGTGGTGTTAAGTTGCCTTGTCGGCCAATTTGGCTCGTTTTACGACCCAGAAGGATTTGTAGTTTTACGCTGAAAAGCTGTTGACAAATGTGTAATAGAAATATGAAAACCTTTGGGAGATTCCGCATGGTCGTCGACGGGCCTCAATTCCATGAATCCGCCCGCACACACACGCACCGAAGTATAGTCAAATACGTACTCTGCTCTGCTCCAATTCCCTCTACCCGAACAACTTGCTAGACACACACACACTCGAGTGCGCGTCTGCTTTGGTTTCTTTGGTATGTCCGCGCATTTCTCGATCGCTAATGAAATTCCAACATTGCTTGCTGTCTTTTTCATCTCATCGCTCTACATGATTAGTTTTTACTAAGCAAATTAGCGTTAGAGTGGCGTTTTAAATGGGACGACACTTGAGTAGTTATGTAAAGCAAAATATAAACAAAAACAAAAAATACAATAAAAAGTTTTAAATAAAAAAAAAAACGACAACATCTTTAATAATGCATAGCTGATGCATTAAGCTGAGCAAAGCGGCAGCGTGAACTAACAAGCGCGGGTTGAAAAATTTTTAAAATATATAAAAAAAAACAAAAATATTTCAATAAAGATGCGAAAAAGACTTGCCTGCTCACGTTGGTTGCATTTTGCCGCATTGAATAAATACGATTTATGTTATATAAAATGTTTAGGAAATGAAAGCAAACAAATTTGTAATAATTTTTGTGTTTTTTTTTTCAAAGAAGATGAACACAAAGAAATGTTAAGTTTTTCTCTTAATTGTCATTATTTTTACGTTGATTTTTCTTGTAGTAGTGTATAAAATTGCAACTGTACCCTAAGCCGCTAACTCATCCAACACTAACTCACTGGAAAACGAACACAATAAATAAATAAATAATAGAAAACAGCAACAACAACAATATCATGAAAACCTAAACGAAAGTAATAATAGAAATTTACTATGCATATTTTAGGCGCCAATTTATTAGTGGTGAGAGCAAGGAAACAAAAAAAAAACTAAATCTTCGGAAAACAAGTTGGAAATTTCTATAAAAAAATTTGTAACTAAAAATTAGCTGGGTAATAATTCAGCTGTGCAAACTTAGTAGGTATGCAGTTTGAAAAAAATGAAAGCAACATAATTATTGATAATAAAAACCACATAAATAGAGATCAGAGTCCACAATTAGAAAGTAACACATTAGCAGTTATGAGAACTTGTTTGAAACAAAAAACAAAACCACAAAAACAATACTATGTAAAACCAATTTCAGACGGTAGAAATATTTTAGCAAGCAAAATACAAAATAAAAATAAATAAAAATGAAAATTAATAAATAATACTTATATGTAATAAAAAACTGCTAAACCCAACTAAAATACGAAGCAGGCATATACATACATAAGTATACACAGACACGCATACATGCATACATACATACATACATATATTCTATATTCATATACACATGCATATTTAGCTAACACCAACACAGGCAAATACTAAATACATAAATAAATAAAAAAGCTAAAAAAAAAACTATCGCCGAAAACTCCAAACAAATGAAAAAAAAACAAAATTATGTTGGTTATAAAAATTTAATTAAACTGAAAATAGAAAAACCCAAAATATAAAAATAAATTATAAAATACCTACAGACCCATTAAAAAATCTCATATCTACTTTAAACTAATTTCTGCTACATTCGCAACCTTTTTGTTAAAGATAGCTGGGAAACAGGGAAAGAGCGTGCGAAATAGAAAATTCTTTTGTTATTATTTTGTTTTACCAAAAATTTGGAAATTTGTGCAAATTAAAAGTATGGTTCAAACATTTTCAGCCCAATTCTGAATACTCCCGGGGAGTTTGTTCTCGGGGAATTTGTTTCTACCGAGAAAGAAATCCTCCAATATTTAACTCCATGGGAGTAGCATTTTCCCCGAAAATTTGGGAGGGGGAAATTCGAACTTCGAGAGAGCTGTTTGACACTCACAGCTCACCGCCGCCATTTAAAATAAAAAATGCTCTGGGAATTTTTGTTCATGATGGGAGGAAAGGGAAAAGAGAGAAAACTCTCAGGGAGTTTCTGTTCAGTATCGGAATGTTTTTTAATAAATTAAGTTCATGTTTTTGCTCTAAAAATTCGTTTTTAATTCTTTAGCTATTCGTTAAGATTTCATTTTCTTTTGCAATTTCCAAAAAAAAAATTGTTTGGATTCCCACTAAATCTACATTAGAATTTAAGTTTCTATAAAACAAAATTCTAAATTAACGATTTTTTATAAAAATACATATTATTTATACGCATATTTTAATTAAACTCAAAAATGTTTCACTGAGAAAATTCTAGTTCTAAAAAACTGCAAAAATTTTTATCTCTTCATTTCAAATCTGTGATTTTTCACAAAAAAAAACAAAAAAGATTGCCACAAATTTCCAAAAAAATTTTATTTTCTAAAAAAATTCCAGCATATAAAAAATTTTCATTGACAAAATTTTAATTCTAAATTCAACTTTTCATTCATTTTCCAATAGAAAATGTCCTTTCTCATGCATTGCTTGTTTTAGCTAATTGCTTGCTAAATCTGATCTGCTTACTTGCTTTCATAACCTTACACAGTTCCAAAGCTAAGGACCAGCGCGCGGTTGCTTGCCGTTTTGAAAGACATAAAGTTAGTAAAAATATTGTTTAAATTGTAAAATTAAATGTTAAATGAAAATAAAAAAAATTAAAAAGTTCAACAAATCACAACCCTTCTCAGTTGTGCTCACACGCAACATAATTGGCCACAGTTGGCTATCTCCCTCGTCATAAGCAACCATCATAAGTCACCATAAAATGGTAGTAAGTCCCCATTATTTTCAGTGTACCACATTAAAAGTAACAAAAACGAAACAAGAAAAAATTGCAAAATTAATTTTAAGCCACCAAAAAAAAAATATAAGCGTTTGAATTTGAAAATTTTTGAAAATAAAAATTATATTTAAAACAATAGTAATGGTCTTCGATGCTTTAAATATTGTGTAAATAGTTATTAAAATTTATTAATTAAAGCAGCAAAAACATCAAAGCGAGTAAGGTCGAACAAATAAACAAGGAAATAAAAATTGCAAAAAAATAATAAAATGAAAAAAAAAACATAAAAGAGCCTGTGTTCTTACTTTAAAAATTGAAAATCTATGACAGTCGTAGAAACCTCAGTTTAACTAACTCCTACATAGTCGAACCGATTTTGGTGGCAAAGGAAAGAGCATCGCTCGGGGCGGTGTCCCACAACATTTTTCATTCGAAATAGGCCCTACTTCGATTTTTTTGCTATAAAATTACGCCGAAAATGCTTATGCTGAAAAACTCGTCTCGCCAACAAAAAAAGGCGAAAAGAAGTTATGGGCTACAAGTAATTTTTAGCAAAAAAAAACCGACTTCAACTCTCATATAAAAAAATATATGTATATATATATATATATCTCATGATCCACTGATCGGATCTTAACCAGATTAGTATGGGACCACCTCTGAGACACTACCTTTCTGATCGAAATCGGTTGACGTGGTCCAAAGTTATGCGGTAACAACATTAAAAAAAAAAAAATATTTCGACGAACTGATAACCTTCTCCTTTTTTGGTCGGTTAAAAATAGAAAAATTCGGAAGCGCATTTGCCATGCCCCCTTTATCCTTTTTTGGGGCCCGAACAAAATTAAAAATGGAAATTGTACACATTTTTCTAATTAAAAAGTTACTTTTAAATTTTTAGAAAATATGAAACTATTTTATGAATCAAGAAGGAATTTCCTAACTAATCGTATAAAAACGAATATTGGCTTGATTTCCGTATTTTTTTTAATACGTTTTTTCTATCAAAAACGTTCGCTTCGCCAACAAAAAAGACTCGAATGGAAAGAAGGAGCTTTTGTCTAAAATTGGCAAATGTGAAAACGCTTTTGCCGTGCCCACTTTTATCTTTGTTTGGGGTCCGAAAAAAATTAAAAACTGAAATTTTACAAAATTTTCAAAATAAAAAGCTACAATTTTAATTTTTAGAAAATATCAATCTATTTTTTTAATCTAAACAACTAATAGTTTAAAAACGAGTAATGGAAATTGCGTGCAAATATTTTATAAAAATTTACAAAATTGGACTTGATTTCCGTTATTCGTACGAGCACTTTTCTCACCGGAAGTTGCATATTTGGCGCGTTCCGACTGGGGTTTTCACAAAAATTTTATATGCATGGGATTCAAAATCGTATGAGGCGTCGACTGCGGTACTTTAAAAAAAAAATCGGAATAACGGTTAAAAAGGTTTTTTAGAACTTTCAAGAAGATTAATGGCTGTTTTGCTATTTCTTCCGTCTAAAATTTTTCTTGATTAAATTTTCGAAAAAATATTTTCCATTTCTAATGGCTGCTGAATTTCTACGTCGTTCCCCATTCGGTTTTGAAATTTTCAGCCCCTAAAAATATCGAAACTTCCGTGGAGAACTTGCTACTTTTCCGCGAATTTTTCTGCAGAAGTTTTGGGATCTGGAAAATTTCTAAAACGGATTTTAAAGAGCTAAACTTGTATAGGTTTCTGCCAAATATACAAATATTAGGTTAGGTAATTTTTTCATGCCGATATACTCGAGAAAAGTTGTTAACTTGTTCATGTTTCTAGGCCTCTCAAACTGTCGGCACGCAATTTCGTGTGTGATACTCGAAATGTTTGTTGTAATACTTGAATTTTCGTTTGATACTTTTTCTTATTAAAATATTAATTTTCCTCAAAAGTAATGGCACCAATCGAAAGAGGAAGTTTTTGGCTAAAATTGAAAAATTCGGAAGCGCTTTTGTCATGCCCCCTTTTATCCTTTTTTGGGACTGAAAAAAATTAAAAACGGAAATTTTACACATTTTTACTAAATAAAAACTTACTTTTTTAGTTTTTAGAAAATAAGAAAATATTTTATGAGTCTGTAAGGAATTTCCTAAATTTAAATCCTAAAAATGCGTGGAAATATTGTAAAGAAATGTTCAAAGTTGGATTTGAGATCCGTTAAATTTGTTTTAATCTAACGTTTTTTCTATTAAAACCTTTCGTTTCGCCAACAAAGCAGGCAGTTTTTATCTAAAATTGATAATTGCCATATTCACTTTTTTTATATGAAACAAATAGTTAAACAAAACCTAGCAATATGGGTATCAACTGCCAGGTCTGCCCGAGTGTGTTGTTTTAAATATTGGTAAGGGTGTGGTTTTATTTTTTTTTAAAGATAAAAGCGATTTTTTCTTCCTCTATTTTTCGTTTTTTCTTAAATCAAACTTTTATTCAAAATATGAAATAACATTTTTATAGTCGTTTCTTGAAACATTTAATTCACTTTTTGGTAATTACGTGTATATGTATGTGTGTAAATTCTATTACTTTTAGTTATATTAATCGGTAGTTACATATATTACATGGCTAGAAAATTTACAACAAGTTCCTAAGCGACATTACATTAGTACTTAGATGTGTATGTATGTGTTTTCTTTTGTTTTTGTTTTTGTTTTCTGTTTGTATGTGTACATGCGTTTTGTTCCCCACTCAACTAAATCCCACCACGAAATTCGTTTGTTCCGAGTATTTATTTTATCCTAACTCGGGCAGATCTCTGCTACAATTCTCCGCTAACTTCTTCCATCTGCTCTGCTCCACAATCTCTACTCGCCAATCCATTTTTAATTCAATTCTTTGCGCGTTGTATTGGGCAACATCAAACACATGAGACCGCCACCCATCAATAGGATGGCCACAATGAACGTCGGTGCCGGGCAATACTGATCCAGTAGTGATGCAATCACAATGTTACCAATGATGCCACCCATACGCGCCGCCACCATGGAGATGGCCACACCGGTGGCGCGCAAATGTGTAGGGAAGACCTCGGTAATGAGACAGTCCAAGGCTGCATTGGCAGCTGAGATGGCACCACTGAACACAGCCGTCACGATCAGGTTCTGTGTCGAGCTGAACACGAAGTACATGGCAGCCGAGCACACGCCAGCAGTCATGGTGCCGAAGATAAGGAAGAATTTGCGCCCCAGCAAGTCCATGCCCAAAATGGCGATCAGGTTGGCTGGCAGCGCGGAGGCTAAGGAGATCAATGACTCCTGGAATACGCTCTGAGGTATGTGCCCTGAGCAGACGGCATCTTCTTCCTCTATCTTACCCACCACATAATCGGTGACTGTGCACACACCGGCGCGCTGATCTGGGAAGGCGACGCTGTACTTTTCGAAGCGATTGAACAGCTCTGGGAACCACATCATCAGGCCGTAGTAGCCGATGTGAAAGGTAAAGTTGATGGTAATGGAGATGAGTGTGAATTTTAGAATCGGCGAGGTGAACAGTTGTTTGCTGTGATCGGCCATATTCGACATCATTTTACTGTATTTGCCCTTGACGCCAGCCTGATTCTCCTTGATCTCGGCCAACAGTTTCTCGTCGATGTCCAGTTCGATGACGGGATATTGTTCTGCCGGTTTGCGTGTGTTGGTCACGAAGATGCCACGGAAGATGGCCATGGCCCTTTCTTGTTTGCCCTTGGTTAGCAGGAATTTCGGCGATTCGGGCAAATAGAAGAGCAGGAAGGCGACCACGAATGATGGCAGAGCGCACACCATCAAGAAGATACGCCATGAATTGTATGTAATTAAGTCGGTTTTGAAGCCAAGGCTGCTGGGAATGATCAACCATGCAAGGCCGGCAACAAAGAGATTACCAAAGGTCCAGAAGGCAGCCATGAAACTCAACATGGAGCCACGTTTCGCTTTCGGCTGGAATTCGGCGAAGTACGACCAAATGACTGGACCGCTGCCGCCGAGACTGAAAGTTGAAGAGAAAGAGAGAGAAAGAACGTATGTATGTAGTAAAAGCGGAAGTAAATTATATGTACATATATATAAGGATATAAGGCTAAGGACGAAATGGAGAATAGGAAAAATGGGAGCAGAAATCGAAGTATGCGAGCAAATGATGAAACAAAGTGGAAAAATGGAAATTTATTAACACAAAATATGAAGCTAAAAGGAGGAGTGATGAATTATGTACATTTGTATGTATGTATGTATGTAGCTGAAGTTCGGATATTGTGGTATATGATCCGATAACTCAATAAAATTCGGTAACTTAACTAATTTCGATAACTGTGAAATTCGAGGGCTCGATAACTCAAAAATATATATGTATATGTATGTCGATATAATTTAATAACTCGACAAACTTTGGGTTATAAAGGTATACAGGTAATTTCGATAACTCGGTTAATTTTGACAGTTCCATATATTTCGATAACTCGTTAAACTCTGTTAACGCGACAAAATTCGATAAGCAGTGATAACTCGATAAACTTATGTAACTTTGAAATTTCGATGCCTCGATATCTTTTGAAAATTTCATAAACTTCGATTCGATAAATCAACCGATTTCAGTAAATCAATAACTATCGATAACACTGTAAGTTCTTTATTTTAAAAAATTTCGATAATCACATAAATTATTATAGCTCGATAACTATTCGTAAATTTCGGCAACTAAGTTTCTGTGTCAATATATTTCGACAACTCAGTAAACATAGATCAATTTGAATAATTCGATACATTACGATAAGCATAGATAACTCGATTAATTTCGATAACTATAAACTTCGACGATTCGATAAAATTCTGTAACTTTGCGATTCCTATTGAAAAAATTTCAATTAATTTTTTTACTCTTTCAGTTATCCTAATTCTTATGTATTTCTCATTGTCTTATATTAGCGTACTAATATATAGATATGCAGCAAAACCAATTGGTCTCCTTTAAAACGCACAAAAAATGTGGTTCCTATTTTTAAGTTTTTTTTTTACTGCAATAAATCTATATTATTAAATTAGAAAGACAAAAACTGTTAATATTGCCAAAGTATTTCATTGATCAAGTCTCGGACAACAGAAAATTTATGACTTATTGATTATAGTTATATGAGTTTGTTTGCAAATTTTGAAAATCGTAAATAGAAAATATGAAACTTTTCTTTTATAATGTGAAAATTTAAAAGGAAGCTAAAATTCATGAGCGTCCAAAATTAAAATTTTTTAAATACTAAAAGTTGATTTAAAAAAAAAATTAGAGCATAGGATATTAAAAACTATAAAAGTTTTGCTTTAAATTAAAAAGAAAAATGTTTCCAAACCAAATTTAAAATTGATGCTAAATTACTATTATCATTTTTTTTCATTTCATTTCATACATTTCTTAATATTCTTTAATTTTCGTAAATATTGTTTCCAAGTTATCTTTTTAAATTTAAACTTTAACTTTTTTCCAAACTATGTTTTAAAATTGTTTCCAAGTTATTCTGTTTAATCTTTTCTTTGGGATTTTCTAATATTCTTCAAATCTCGATTTTTCCGTTCCTTTTTCAAGAATTAAAAACAAATACTTTTTCATAATTTACGTAGTATTTGCCCCTGTTTGCACTTGCTGTGAATTCTACAATAACATACCGTCGTGCCACACGGCGTATGCGCAACTTTTTTTCGCTCGCATAATACAAAAAATCTATTTTCAAATATTTTCTACTTTTTAATCAATTAAGTATATTCCATAATAAATATTCATAAGCTCATTGTTTTTATTGCCCTCTTTTTTCGCTGCTCGCGCGCACAACATCCATTATAAATACGTCGATTTAATGATGATTTCAAAATTTTGTTTACGCCTTATTTCTCATTGAGCGCTTCTTGTGTAAATAAACAAAAAGCGTGCATTGCAACTGTTTGCAATTTTCGAATATTACTAATTTGTTGATGAACTTAAAAAATGTGAGAGCTTGTGAAGGCATGTATGTACGTACATACATATATGCGCGGCTGTTGTGGCAAATTAACACCTCGCGAACCGGGTGAAAAGTGCAAAAAAAAATTTAGTGTGCGAAAATTTACTTATGTATGTATGGGTGTGTGTGGGGCTAAACACTAAAGAAAGCCACGTTGCTCAGCGCTACCCAAGTTTCAGCTATGTAGGGCTGACTCCGCGCCCGCACACATTAACGCCACGCCACGCCACGCTGGCCGCAGTCGCTAGTCGCTGCTGTTAACTAACATTTTACGAGCGATTTAATTAACACCAAGCCGCGCTTATTTACAAGTTCGACTCTTACAGCAGCTGCGCTCGCTGCCTCAATGTCAATGATTCATTTTGGGATTAGCGTGTTGTGGCGAAACCAAATGGCTGATGAGTTAGTGGATTTTTATGAAATATTTATCTATTAGTTTGTTTGTATGTGTGTGTGTGTATACTTACGCCGCGCCATTGAGAAAGCGAAACAGCATAAACCATCCGTAGGTTTGCGAAAATGACGATGCAACAATACAAAAGCCATTCATAAAGGAGATCACAATGAGCACCTTTTTACGTCCGACCGCATCGGCGATGCTGCCCCAGAAGTAGGCACCGACCATCATACCAATGAATATAATTGAATTGAGCCATCCTTTGGTGCTCGTATTCAAATCCAAATCACATTGTGCCGATGGTAGAATGAACGACATGGAGATGACGTCCATTTCTTCACTGGTGCTCACCAGACCACAAATGGCCAATAGAATATAATGGAATTTTCCATAGCCGCATAATTCGATGGCCTGCTCGAAACCGGCCCGTATGCCAGTGGAGCGGCGGCCATCGGCGCCTGAGCCGCCACTTCCGCCATTGCTGCCACCGCCGTTGCCGTTGCCGTTGCCGCTGCCGCTGTGTGGAACGACGCCGTTGTGGGTGACCTCAATGACGGCCGCACTACCCTTTTCTACGTCATGCTTATCGCCGCCAGCGCTGCTAATGTCCGTCTCGTAACCCTTATTGACTGCTGCAAATTGATATTCGGGATCCTTGCCGCCACTGCCCAACGAATAGGGCTGTAGAATGGAACGATTGTCGATCGAGTTATTTCTGCTGTTATTGTAGTTTGGTTGGATGCCAGCCTCTACATTATAGGCTGTGGAAGAGAGAGAGAGAGAGGAGGAAAATAGAAAGAGATAGAACATATTAAGTGAGGGTGTTGTTAAACAGAAAAAAAAAATTTTATTGAAGAAATTCAAGGCATAACAAGGTACAAGAGATTTCGACATTTCTCTCTTTTGAACTGTGACTGAAATGTCAATTTTAATTTTTTTAATTTAAGTTTTCAGTTGTGAACTGTTTGGCTAATTTAAAATACATAATAAAATGAAGAGGAATTATGGGCGGTGTGTTGTGTTTGGCAAGAGCCAGGACAACAAACTTGTGCGTTATTTTAAACCTCCGAATTGTTAAGTGAAGCGACAACATTAAAGCTTAGTATCCAGCTCTTAAGAAAAGCAAAAACTCCATATAAAATGACGTACAATAAATGGCTAAGAAATTTTCTTGAGTAAAATTTCCTTAAGGCAGTACGCAGTTCTTCAGAAATTTAGTACGCTTTCTACTACGGTTTTCTAAAGTTTTTTGTGAAAAAAGAGCACAAGGTAACCCAGGTTTGCAACAGAAATATATGCCCGTTCCATTATTTCTTGAGGAAAGAGTGAGGCAACAGGCTGTGCGTTATCAAAAATGTCAAAATTCCTTGGGCACACACGCGAAATAATGGCAATTTTTTCTTGACCGTTTTCTTAAGAGCTGGATACTAAGCTTAAGTATGCATTTCCACATTTACGTTAAAACGAAAACGCATTAACTAAAATGAAGCTCATTCTAATGAGATTTTAAATATTTACATATTTACAAAAACTTTTATTTCAAAGAAATTGAGTTTTATCAAATATGGTAAATGCATAACAAAGGGTTAATTTCTTTGTTTACATTTTTTGACATTACAGTCAGCTATGAGAGAGCTCGACTGAGTGGTCACTTCTACCTTCTACCTTCTACCTTCTATCATTTGAAGAAATTTTGAAATTAAATTTTAAGATTCTTAATAACAGGGTTGGTTTTAAAAATTAACTGATTTTTTATTTTGTTAAAAAAAAAAATCAAAAACCTTTTTTTTATTAAACCTTTTAAAATCTTTAAAAAATTTAATAAATGGCTATCTTTGTACGTCCTATGGCAAACATTTATGAGTCAGTTAACTACAAAATGATTCACAAACCACACTTTTTTGTGCAATTTGCGTCACAAAGTTGCTAATTAAAAAAAAAGCTGTCAAAAATCGCGCTTTATCAATAGTAAAATATTATGTATTTTTTCCATTTTAAAGGAAATGATGAGGCGTATCAAAACATATTGGCTTTGAAAGAACACAAAGAACCACTTCAGTGTCTCAAAGGAGGTGTGACATTTTTTGTTATTTTTAGCAAACGTGTGCCTTCATCTTTTTTTCTTCGAGGTCGTAGCAATAATGTTACACTAGTATGTATGTATGTATGTATTATCAATTTTTTTTCTAACCTTGTCGTTATCAGTGAAAGTCGGCGCGTATTTAAGCGTTCGAAAATTTTGTTAAGCAGACATTATTGCAAAAAATATATGTGGCATTCTTCGTTAACTGAAACAATCCACCCTCCAAAATTCGATCGAAAAAGTAAACATTCGCCATTTTGATTTTTAAAAATTCATGTACGTGTTCGTAATCCGCTACCCCAAAAACTCGCAATTAAAAAATTTTGAGTGAATCCAATAATTTTTCAAAACTTCGTCCGCCATATTGGATTTCAAAAAACGCCCACTCGTCATTTAAAGGTAAAATTTTTTTCCAAATTTTCAAGAGCATAATCGATTTTTTAACTGAACCAATTTTGAAAATAGGAGCTTCAGTTGACGAAGAATTCCTCATACATATGTAAATACGGATTTTCGCACTTCAAAAATGTGTTCAGTTATACAACTTTGGGAAAAAAATTATAAATAATCAGCCTTATCACCAATTCCACGTGAGTAAATCCTTCCCATAATTAAACGATAAACAAAAATAAATAGCGAATTTTTTTTTTTGTTTTTGGGGAATATTTATTCACAGGAAATTCGCAAAGAAGCCGTATGTTTATTAAAAAAAATGTTTCTTATTAATTAAAACTTAGTTAAAATTTTTTGAAATTCACTAGCTATATCTTTTTATTTTTTTGTTTTGGCAATTTAAAAACCTTGCTAAGCTTTCAATATTTCTTTAACAAGAAAAATTTACAAATTGATTTATAGTTAAAGTATATAATTTATTTCTTCTCAATAATTAATTTTTTAAATATTTTTAATTTTTTTGTATGTTTTTCTTGTATACTTACAATCACTTTTATTCTTAATCGAATCACCTTCTACCATTCTATGAGTTCGGTTTTTTGTTGGCTTTTCTCTCGCTTGAATCGAGACGAATAAAATTAAGTGAATAAAATTGAAGAAGTGAAATTAATCACTTAAAAAATAGATGTTGAGTTTTTGTTGCGGTGTTTTTTTCCGGTTTGCCTCGATGCAAATACCACTATTTGTTTACGTTTGGTAAAAAATAGTAGGCAAAATTTCCGTTTATCAGAAATTTCAAACAATTAGTTGAAGAATTTTTTATCGATCTGCAAAGAAAAGAAAGGAAATGGATTATTAATTTGCGGAAAGATTATTAAAAAATAAAAACATATTTTTTTGAATACTATGCAGATTTTTTAAGGTGGTCATTTAATAAAAAATATTCCCCGCTTTATAAGATTACTCTCAAAATTAATGTCCTATGCTGAAAATTGCTCTCTTTCGTGTGTGTGTGTGTGTGCGTGTGTGTGTTTTTTTTTATAATTTTGTTAATAATCTTAAACATGAGTTTAAAACGTTATCAGTGCAGTTCAACAACATCAATCAGCGCGAATGCTGGAAAGGCGTCTGCAAATGCTGCTGCTGCTTTGGTTTATAAATATAGTCTTAATATTTTATTGACAAATAAAAAACTTATGTATGTGCACTAAGGCACAGACTGATAGTCTGAGTTTGCGGGATCATTTTACGCCAACTAAAAAAATTTTGCGCTTAGCACAAAGCCAGCTGGCACAGCATTTGTGCATAACGATGTACTATGTATTGCATGTATGTAAATATGCAGTAAAGCCAAGTGATAAACATGAAATGACACGACAATTATATATTGTGAGTTTTTCCTCTATTATCTGCTCCAAATATAGCATAAATTTTCTTCGTTCCCAATGCAGGGCATTAAAAAGGGGCAGCTATCGCATTATTTAGCCAAAAGTGCCTGACTGCTTCACTGTTTTGTGCGGAGAAAATTGACAGCAAAACTCCGCGAACTAGCCAAATATTTTTTAAGAACCTAATTTGCCAGCCAGAAAAAAATAGTGCTCATTCTTTTACAGCGCGTGGCAATTAAATTAAAACAAAATAAAATAGAAAACACAAACATTTACATTTGCCATAAAAATAAATATTTTGTTATGGTGTACTTCCCGAACGAATTCATCACTTATATTTTTAAAGGTAACTGCGTAAATTTTTACCACTTTTCTTCCAAATATAGTACAACACCTCTACATCACCACATGTTTCTAGCTGCTAGCACATTTACCCGTAGTACAGTAAAAGAACACTTATGTAAATACATATTGTCGTTTAAAGTACAAAAGCGCGTATCGTCGTTCTGCAAAACCTCGTAACTGACATTTGGTTTTGCATTTTCTTGGTACGCCGTTTTGTACTTTAAACGACGATATATATGAATGTACTCATATCGCTAGCTTAGAGTGAAAAGTTGCTAAGTCCATTATTTTTGTAACTTTACCGGAACGAAAAACAACTTCTTATAGTCTGTTTCTTCAAGTATTTTGAAAGGCTTTGATTACAACATTCTGTAAAAAGATTTCGTTTTTTTTTTGCCTTATGGCCATTCCATTGTGACTGGTGGACATTTTACACTAGAATGTGATCAATTGTGAATTATAGCTATGCCGTCGGAACTTATACAACAGCGAAAGATATTTTATAACATAGAACGATAACTACGGTATCAAATTGCTTCAACAAAAATACCAAAAGATTTCTTAGATTTGTGTGTAACTATTATTTGAATGAATGTGACTGATGGGATACTGAAAATAACTCTATTTTACCCTTGTTCACTCAAAGATGAATTTAAGCTTAAAACACTTAATTTTCATGAACGGTGTTTTTGCGTTGTAAAATATGAATTATGAGCTTTCGTTTTCAATAAAATTAAGGACTATATAATCTTCATAGAAATATAAAAAAAAAAATATTTAAAATTGTGACTGGTGGGACATCTCCTTATTATAACTTTGTTCATATAACGGTTGTTTGTAACAGGCAAAACGAATCGAGATAGCTATAGACAAATGTATACATAAATGAACAGAATGAAAAGAGAAATCGATTAAGCGGTGACTGTCTGTCCGTCCGTCCGTCCGTCCATCGGCTACGCCTGAACTTACAGCCCGATTCTGTGCACTTGATAAATTGAAAATCTTTATAATTTGTCAATTTTTTATTATTTATCAAGAATTGACATTCTAGCACAGAAATCAAAAGCTCTTTTCTTGATAAATTGTCAAGATTGAAAATGCTATTGACAAATTAAAATTTCATGTGAAATGTCGAAATTTTGTATATTAATAAATTTGTTTCTAATACTCCATGTGCCAGCATTTGAACCTGCGACAAACGGAATAAGAGTCGACATCTTAACCTACTCGGCTACGGCAGTCAAAAGCTTTTCTGCTTTTAAATTCATATATTTCATATTTTGTTTTATAAATATTGACACAGAATGCGAAGGGAGCTTTTACTTGATAAAAATCTTGATAAAACTTCTTTACAAAAAATGTATCAAGAAAACACAGAATTGGGCGGTTAGACTATCATTCTCGTTTTTTTTTTATATTTTTCAACAGGATGATGAAATGTAGTCATTTAAAAAGAAATAGAGATATTAAGGACATATTTAAATTTCCTCTTTTACATGAAATCACCTCTTATCGAATGGACTTAAAAAATTTGCATTGAAACAGGAAGAAATAAAACAAGTATGTATCTTAATTATTTTGGAAACCATGCATTTCTAATTTCTCTTTGCCTCCTATTTCAAATTATGAGATTTTGCAAAAAGTGATGTTAGCAACTTTTCACTCTAAGCTAGCGATACACATATGTACATATGTTTGTATGTATGTATGTATTTACTTAAAGCTCCACATGTTAATCTTCAAGCTCTAAAAGCCTGATTATGGCAACTTAACTTAACTTAACGGATCGCAGAACTTAGAGAATCAAAATGAAACAGATTTCGACGTGGCATTAAGTTACGTTAACTTTCGGCTGTTCAATTATAGGCAACATCCATTTAACAGAATTTTTGAGTGAGAAACCCTAAGTTACGTTAAGTTGCCATAATGAGACCATAAGCGTGCAAATAAAGTGCCGCGCGGTATAAATAAGTACGCCAGCATTACATAAATACGCGATAAATTGGAAGACTACTTTGTTAAGCGTATTATATACTTATTCAATTGTATGTATGTATGTATGTATGTATGTATTTACTCGAACTCGAAAATATTTAGCTAGTTGTTTATTAAAGAATTCTTGATGTTGAATACATATAACGCGTATTATTATTAAAAACAATTAAGTGTACACTGCAAATTCGAGTGTAAGTGGCTGAAGTGTGTGAATGTACATACATATATGGATAAATACATATGAATAACATATAAAACGATATTTCTGTTAATTTGAGTGTAAACACTCAAAAGTCGCCGATACGATCTTTTGTAAATCTACAACTGTTTGGTGTGAACAACTTACTATGTGTGTATACATACTATTATTGATATAGAATTGTAGCATTTGATGTCTCCTAAAAAAAGATATAAGCTATTGATACAACTCGAGTATGTATTATACCAATAAAGGCGTCGTCTGCATTGACTTGTTTGCTGATTAAGTGTGATTCCTTGCAAATAATAATTTAAAGCACTCTTAAATACTTTTTTTTTTTGCAATTTAACGCTATGGCCGAGTAGTCACGAGGTGCTTACTGCCATCCCGTAGGCCTTGGGTTCAATCCCTGGTCCCTATAATATTTCTGCCTTGAAAAAGCTTATCATAAAATTAATTTGCCGTTCGGAGGCGGTAAGTACCTCCATTTGTGTGGCAACATCAAGACGCGCGCCACAAATTGGAGGAAAAGGTCGGCCAAATACTTAGCAAAAGTGTGATCGCCAAAATATTATTATTACTTATTCATACATATGTAAATATGTACATTAGACTGTGTCATATAAAACGAACGTTTTTTTCTTTTGGTCCCATATGAAAATTCTCTTGTTGATCCAAAAAACACAAATTTTCAGTGAAACAATTTTTTACCTACTTTATAATAATAAACAAATAAATGTAACGAATAAAGTAAGGCACTCTTGTAGTGTTGTACTCAATTTTAGTACAATATGTGCAAGTTTGTGGTAGCTAAGACTTATCGTTGATTTTTGTAAATTTTTTTTGTTGACGGTGTCAGTAATTTTCTTCCATACGAAGTATATACGAGCGATATGCACACGCAGATGCAAATATAACTGCTTGTGGATCGTACAGATTCAACTCTATTAATACAAAAACAGGTATAACAGTAGTTTTTGAAGCAAAAATTATTCGCATTAATTGAATGTAAGTCCTCTATGAATTGATTTAGGCAATAAAAAATCGCCCAAATTTTATTTATTTTTTTTTGAGTTGATCGCACTTTATATCTAGGTATGCGATATGTTCGACGACTTGTTTATATGAAAAAAAAATACAAAACCTTCAACAAAATTATTTCCAAAAATTAATTAGCTACAATATATGTAGTTTTATTTTATTTAATATATTTAATTGTTTATTGCAAAACAAAGCAGCAAATTTGTTTCACTAAAAATTCTTATTTTTGCGAGCGCTAACTGAAAAATGATGGAATTTTTCCAATGGGTTCCGCTCACGCAAATCTCAATATTTTTCCGAAATCTTTTGGCGGAGGTCTAAAAATGTAAGCAATTTTATAATTCCGATGGAAAAACAGTGGCGATTTTTTTGTATGGAGATGCACCCTAATGTAAATATGTACTTAATAATAATAATTCTTCGTTCTTTGTATCAAAAATTTTTAAATTCAAGTTGTGATTTTAGGGCAGCTACTTAATTCGAGAACATACAAGTCTTTTAATTGTGTCACATGCTTACAAAATTAAAATCCCCTTTTGCTTCCATTTTAATTTTTTTTTTTGCAAATCCGGTTATATTAAATTTATGGCATATTGCATCAGGTAGTTAGGAAATATTATTTTAATTTGCACAAGCAGTTACACGTTTGGAATTACGCAACTACACGAGCTGCTCAACAATTTTTTTCTGTCAGTGTAGTTGCATTGAATGAAATGCTGGTAAACTTTGAAAATACGGCGCTAATTTGCATTTTTTATTTCGCTTTATTTAACCACCTATACCTACATACATATGTAGCGTGTGTCAGCTTATGTGTATATAACGTATGCGGAATGAAATGCGGACAATTTCTAAGCAG